ACTTGCTCGCTGCCTGGACTGAACTAACTCACGTCTGCCCACAGGGTTCTGGGTGGCCATAGAATGTACACTGAGCTTCAGTTAACCTCTCACTTCTGTATGGGAATCCTGCAAGAAACTATTCATTACAACTACCCACACATACCACACCCTGCTTCTTTACAGACACCTATCCATTAACAAAAATAACAATAAAAAAGCCCCCTAGGGAAATACACTTCTGAGAACCTGTTTTGCTAACATGCTGTCACTGTGAGACATACATAATTAACAAAAGCTATGCCACAGCAACTTTTTTTTACTATTATATATTCTGTCAGAGGCAAAATCTTATTTATGAAGGTAGGTATTTAGAAAAACAGACATTAATTGTGTAGTTGATGATTGCAAGCTAATGCCTTTTCCTAGGCAGCTGTCAGTCTGTACCCTGGCAATCTCTTTTATAGCTGTCTCACATTGCTTTTGGAACCGTAAGTATCATTAGCAGAAAGAGAGATGGAAGTCACTAGAGCTGCTGTGTGTCTGACTTTTTTCTTTTTCCTTTTTTTTTTTTTTTTTTAAGATGTAACACAGTCTCTTAAAGCTTCTACCAACTAAGCTAGGTCAGTCATCAGTAGAAAAGAGAAAAAAGTGAAGCAACGTATTTTTCAGACTCCAAATGTAAGTAAAATTTGGGTCTTTCCTGCGATTTTTACTTTGAATTGGCATACCATGCTTGTGCTTCCATGTTAGTAATTACTAAAATTGTAGATGGTTCTTCAACTCCTTTTGGTCATTTTTGTTGGGTTGGTTTGTTTGATTGTCTGTTTTTCTGTTTCACAGTATGAGAATTGAACATTTTTGTACTGAAATAAGATTGCTGGATTATATAACGTTGCCAGTGTTGTCATACAGAGGAACTGGAAAGTCCCAAAGCCAGTGCTTACAAAAGAGAGTACAATTATGTTCTTAATTGAAGACACAGACTCAAAAAATGACTGCAGGTTTCGTTAGGCAGGAAACAGTCACGGAGGCTTGAACTTTAAATTGAAATTAGCTGAACTTTCAGTCTGACTGGAAAGATTCTCCAAGGAAAACCCCTCTTTCTCTCAGTTGCCATTTCACATTACCGCCTGCAAACTCATTCATATGATGAGCTGCTCTGCCGTCCCTTGGGCAGGGGCAGCTCCAACAGCGGCGGCAAGGGAGGAAAATCACAGCCAGCTGCTACTGATATTACTGCTGATGCACTGTGGGGAGGCTTCTGATTGAGCAGGGAGGAAACAGATAAAGAGTCGGGACTGACACAATCCTCTCTGCCACCACTATTGGCAGCACCCATAATGGTCACTGATAATTACAGCGTCTGATAGCTTTGAAATTATTATTACCTCTCTGGGAGTGAGAGACAACTGTGTGTTAACAGCTGAGGAACTTCTGGTCTAGTCCGGAAAATGACTAGCAGCTACACCAAACTGGCTTCACGCCTACAATGATCAATAACCCATCGAGAATGGTCCAAACCACATATCACAAAGAAACTCTGACACGTAAAGGCAAAGAGCAAAATAGACTGCGGATGTGAGTTTTACATAGTAGCAACTTGGAAGTTTGAACTTCTCTAGTTTAAGAATTCAATTCAATGCTGAAAAATTAAATCTGATAAGCATGCTCTCAGATACCAGCTGATGCTAAAATATGATGTGTTTTGAACACCATTAATTGTTCCAGTACAATGTTGTATTGTTTTCAAAGTAGGCAAGATTACTGTGGTGGATCATGTTTGTTTCAGGATTATCCTCTCTGTGAAATTATATTTCACAGGCAACTATGTACATTTAGCCTTGGTCCTGGTAAAAGCAGGAGAGTTTTGCTGAACTCCTTCCCTTGCTCTCTCACATAGCATTTTCTTGGGAAAAAAAAAGACCAAAACCAAATAATGATTTACCAGTAACAGAATACATGTCATATTGTCTTCTATTTCTCAGCTGTATTTTCAAACATTTTTCCCTTCATTCTTGAACAGAAATATGAGGCAAGAAGACCAGAAAGCAGATAGAGAAGCCTTTTTACAGCATCTTTAGAATTCCAAAAACCTTTTAAATTCTTGGACTGATTAATTCTCTTCTTAAAAGCTCTACACTGTTTTTTCTCTGCTTTGCTACAGCGCGTTTTACTACCAGTCAACTACATTCAGAACTAAAATTATCACATCTTTTCAACAAGTATTTTAGCAGTAATGAGCTCATGGTGTTTATCCGTCTATCATCATCTCATCCTGCTGGCACATTCTTGATACAGTAGAACCTCATGCATGTATAGGTGACAAATGAATAACTGCAATATTCATACTGTCTTCAACTCAGGCCTATAAAAGTCATGGGAACTGTTCTGAAAAGAAAGATATGCCACGTAAGGATGAACATTTTGTTTAACCTTGGCTAGAGCTACTAGTGGTTTTAAAAGCATTTACTTTGAAAAGTTCTTCCTCAATGCCATGATGCTATCTGTCCTCATAAGGCCTTTCTCTGACTTCCTGTTTTCAAGGTACTGGCTCTTCATTGTGGTGAAGAACACCAGTAACTAAAGAATCATCAAACATTTCTCCAAAGACTGCAAGACAATCCTCTGCCATAGTTTGTTGGCTCTGTGTGTGAGGTTATTTCAAGGAGAGCCATATAACCCTTCCACTAAACAATGATGGAAAGTTCAAGTGAATGCTAATAAAGTCTAGTTACTTTGTAGCTTTGGGAAAATAGCCAAGATACACACTGTAAGGACTGAGTGAAAATAAACTAGCACAAAGAGCTTCTTCAAACTCCTTTATTTAAAAATTTGCAAGATAGATACATAAACCAAGAGGCAGGCAGGTCTCCTGCTTTGTGACTGACTGACAGCTATAGCAGCCCTGCCTCAGAGTCTTACCTTGTAATGGGACTCTGGACAACCTCTCCAGTGCTAACAGCTAAGCTCCTCCCTCCCAGTGGTAGACTCATTCTCCCTATTTTCCATTTCATCTTTACTACTACTTCCGTTCCAGTTTCTTCCAGTTTGGTGGTCAGAATTCTAGGATTTACTTTATGTTAATCAAGGAACATTTTGGGAGAAACATTTTTACAAATACGTAGTGCTCACTGGAGAAAATGAGCCCCACAAACATTCACCAAGATGTCAGCATCTGTATCCTCCTGGATTCAGACTTCTTAGAAAACAAAAGTCACGCCAACACCAAGACTACACCTGGCTCATGTATCAGTGACAGTATGGTCACAGCAGCACAGAACTCAGGATGAATAAGTTTTTCAGCTTTCTCTGTATCTGATTTTTCCTTCTGTAATCATGTTAGCAGTAATACCAGGTCCTCTTTAATTTCATGAAATTCTGTACTAAAAGAATCAAAATTCCAATTCAAGAGTTTCCCAACAGCAGTGACCATTAGTCTGTGATACACAGTAAAATCACTTGCTTAAAAAAGAAAACACCATCATCAACTGCTGTTTTGAAGTCCTTACTGACTGCAAAGTCATGCTGGAATGTAGCTCATACCAACTGAAACATATTGTAGCTATAGTCTAATACTTTACTGAGCCATTAAAGAAACATATACCCCACAGGGGTTTATGTTTTGTTTGACATACTTTTTCTAACTATGCTGAAGACTAGATTATGGGGCTTTCTGTTATGCCTCACTGTAAAAGTGCATTATTCCCAGAGTCAGTGCAGACCCTGATTCTTTAGGACATTCCAGGCAGCATGTAAATTAACAATCTGCTGAGCAGTTGGTAAACAAATAATTAAAATACTTATATAGTGCACAGACTTGGACCAAGCCAAGGTTTTAAACACATCTCTGACATACTTTATTTGTCTACAGTAGTCCTGTCCTTGCTCTTAAGGCATTGTCCATATACCTGATCTTAGCAAGAATATTTTGATACAACAGACACACACTTTTAGAATGAAAAGCTATGAGGGTGCTTCAGCTATCACAGATGCACTGGGAACTTGTTCACTCTGACACACCCATTCACAGCTCGCCAGTGCTGCAACCATTATAGAAGTATCCACTGCTGTTCAAACAAATTAGATATATATTTACCATACACAGATGTAGCCCTTGGGTGACAATGGACATGAAAAATGTATTTTTTTTAAACTCCTAGAATTGATGAGTAGAAAAATAATGTAAGAAGTGCAATTGTTATCCCTAACCACAAAATGCCTTGAGGCACTTACAGTCACAGTGAGAGTCTGTTAGAAGTATGGTCATTTCCCTAAAACATGTCCTTTTGGACATAGAATTTTTATTTTTTTCTCTGTATTAACATTTCAGTTTTAAATACAAATATTTGAAGCAGATAACCAAGCTACAGTAAGTTAAACAACTGAATTTTGTGGTCACTTCTAACCCCCTTTGTTCCAAAATCTCATCAGTCAGCTCTAAAGAAACCTTAGAAAGTCAGAAACAAGCATGTTTGGCATAAAAGCTCGTCACATTTTAGTCACAGATCGCTGCAGTTTTGCTTCTGTTCAGCTGTGTCCAAATTCAATATGTATTAGCTGTTGGTTCAGCTCTTGTAAACTCAAGAATGCAGTTGTTGTGTGCTGGAGGGGGGGGGGAGGTGTTCACCCCCATTTTGCCCTTCCCCACCTTTTCTCCACAGTCTGAAATGGAGCTGGGAGAGCAAACTAAGTATGTTAACAGCAGTCACATTGTCAAAATGAGCTTTACCAGAGCCATTCCAAATTCCCTAAGGTAGTTCTGTTCTTAAACTTCACTTTAATGATGTACAATTTACTTTTTACAGATCTGGAATTGCCCTTTACAAGCAATACACAGCTTTCTGTGATTGTACAGACCAGCACAACCGAGAGTACAGTTCTGAAGCATCTCTAATAACTCTCAAAAATAGTAAAACTACATAGATGCAAGAAAGCTGTTAGCTATCTAGCAGAAAAGCACTTGTTGTCTGAAGCATAAACTTAACATTCATAAGTGTTTTCATTCATAAAAAACTTACGTGTTTCTGCTAGACAAAGCTTCAACAAACATAATCCAAAAGTTGCCCATAAGGAGAAGTTGGCCATTGTTTTCTTGGAAGTGTTTTGCAAAATCCAAAGATCCTTGCAAGCTGCAGGAAGAAGAAAAGCCCCGACGCTTGTTAAGCCCGCAGTCAATGAGTCTGAAGTTTGCTGCACTTTTTATTCTGATTCAAAGGAACTGAAGTAATGACATAACTGGGAGGGGGAGCTCCATCAAAAGTCACACCCATATTGCAACAAAAGTTACCCAGCAGTAGGAGAAGGCGGGGAGGGGGGGGGATGTGGGAGGGGAACCAGTACTGACTAAGCAGCCACACTTGAGTTTTAAAGAGGCACTAAACCTCTTCTTCTCACACAAGTACAGTCAAAAATTATACTTATTGTACTTGCAGGAAAAATTGTGTAATCTCTCCTGAGTTAGCTCAAAAATGCACTGTTTGTTATGAGCTTTCTCTCCTTCATTTTAAAATCCCTTCATTATTGCAAAAAAAGCATTAGAGATTCTGAACTCCAGCAAAGCATCTATAATAACCTAGACCTTTCCCAAAAATATTTTGCTTATTTAGTCCCACCTCACCATTTTCTTTTTTTTTTTTTTTTAGGTCAATTTAGACCAAGTAAAATGCCTGCTCTACAATGAAGCTTTCTGCAATATTTTTGCTCGTTGCCAGAGGATAAACTCATGCAGAAGGTAAGTTAAGGCAGTTCAGTCTCCCACAGCACGTCCCACAGGCTTCTCTTCACAGGCTGCTCCAGCAAGAGTAGTAAATAATGCCAGTGCCAGCAGTGATACTGAGGATTAAGGTCAATATTTTATTGTACTGATGGGATGAGGCATAGAAGGAATTATTCCTTGTATTCCCAATTCACAGAGCAGAGAAACAGGATGAAAAGGTATGACATCTTTGATGTTCAGACAAGGTCTCAGTTCCCGAGGGACAGATGTTCATTGTAGTGTGGGGTTTTACGTGACTCTAGATGCCACATGAAGTCCCTCGTGAAAACCCCAAGGCCTCTGCAGATAACCAAAAGGGGTGTCTGTTGTGTGCCTTAACGATTTCCAGTGCTGTCTCCATGCACTGGCCCCTCCTCAGAGCTGCAGAACTGCAACAGTGGTTTGTGTGCCGTGGAATGAGGGGTTCGTCAGGGATCACCAAAGCCAGCACATCTCACCTTTAACAACCAACATGTGGCAATGACTGACAGCCAGTAATGCTCTGATTTCTGTTTCACTTGCCAAACTTGGAATGAATACTCCTGTATCAGATTAACATTTTGTCGATCTTCCCACTTGAAAGAATTTTCTCATTAATTTTTAATCTCTGTGAACACAAACAATGGAAAAATACAGATAGGTCTTTCCAGTCACAGGCATAAGAAGTTCACATAAAGAAGTTTTCAGGACTTTGCCTTTTCTTTGACTTTTGACTTAGAGATGGCTGGCTATCCTTTCCTCAACCAGCCAAATTTTTACAACAGGTTCCTACAGTTCTAGAATATCTGACAGGACAAAGTTAAAGTGAAAAATCTTTCCTTAAAACACAGGGGAATCTTTTCATTAAGAAGCTAGCAACTTTGAAATTACAGATAAAAAACATTTTCTTTAGTTAATATACTAGTCTTTCTTTTGAAAGAAATAGCTTCAAAAGCAACTAAAAAGCAATCTCCTATATACCTTAGTGTTTATATTAGTTGAAAGAGAAATATTTCTATGAATTCCTGTACATTTATATCTATAAATGTTTTGGCATGAAAATACATGAATGAAGTTTAGTGGGACTTCAAATGCTGATGCACAGTTAATAAATGGATGAAACAGAAGAACTGAATATTTAATTAAAATTTAGATAATTTTGAGTCTTATTTTTGATGAATGTAAATTACCTCTCTGTTAATGTCCTGTATCCATAATTATAGAGAATTAAAAAAATGAAACATAGTCAGTACTTCTGCACGTGTTTGGCAGACGTGAATGGCATTCCACTTTGGAAAGACTCTGACTTGTTTGTTGCCCTATAAAACTGGGCTAAGATTAGATGCATTTAGACAAGGTGCATGAAGATGCTTAGTACTCAATGCAAAAGGAAAATACAGATGTATACAAGAAAAATAATTGATCACAGTATGTCATTTCATGCAATAAATCACAAAAATAATAATGAGCTGTATCTATATAACGTAAGTTTTTCCATTTCACATTCCATCTGCCTGCTTACACATCAACCTAAGACACACATTTGCATTCCAACAAAAAAGTGACAAAAAATACTTCCTTCTTTCCCACCCAAACGTGGTCAACAGATGTTGGTCTGAGGTAGACAGCAGATCAAATTTAGCCTGGCTGTAGGGCCTAATGCTACCAAGAAAATTTAGTCAAAGGAGATGTACCACTCTGGAAAAAGTGTTTTTGGGGTTTTGATTGTTTGTTTGTTTGTTTGGCTTGGTTTGGGGGATTTCTTTGTGAGAAATATATAACTTTTCTTTTAGTTTGTGATAATCTTAATACATAGGAACAGAAAAATCTAAAGCAAATCCGCAGCTGAAGAAAAGCAGCAGAGCATAATTTTAAGTGAGCTTATTAATATAGTGATATAAAAAGACATTTTTGTGAGAATTCCCATAGAGGAGGAAAGTTTGGCCTGGCTGAACTGAAAGACCAAAATTCCACTGAACTCAGTGGGGCAGCCTCTCCCTGTAACATATATCTGAATTTTATTATGTGGACAGACAAGACAATGAATGTATCTGAATAAATCTGTATTTATGATGGAAAAAAAGGTACCAATGGAGATTGATTTCACTACCAAATAGGAACAATTGAAAGAAGGCTAGAATGGAATTCTGTTTCTGTGAACATAAATGGCATTTCTCTTATGAAAACTAGAAATTTATGAAAAAGGAAGCTCATAATTTGAAATATTTTTTTCTATTATTAGCAGAAATACTTTTTTTTTCAATTAAAAAACAGTTTTCTGAACGTATTTTGGTAGATATTTCAAGCCTGTTATGGGGAGTTGAAGAACATAGTCTTGGTGAATATAAAAAGCACAGATCTCTTTAGGTAATTCTGGTCATGGCCGTGTATATTTTGCATAGACTACAGGTGATCTGTAAGACTGGCTGAAAATCAGATTTGGGGGAGCAGGGAGGCTTTTATACCCACTTATCTGTAATATCAATAAAATATGTTATTTCTAATAAGATTTCCTCCTTGTCCCTAGACTGCAATCTCGTTTCCTGCATTTCAGACTGGATTCAATTTCAGACTAGATTTAATTTTCATTATCAATCCTGAAAACAGGTTTTGTAATGGAAACGGTTGTAAAGGCTTCAGTGTGGTAAACCTTGTACTGCACACTTTTCTCGGGCTCTGAGAGCTGATGGGAAGGCATAAGAAGAGCCTGTGCCGGTTTAAGCAAGAAAAGCTGCTCTTTTGGCTGGAGGGCAAAGCACTCCTTTGGGAAGTTGAGAGCCCGGTTCTACTCCCATCAACCTTTTGTTCCTAGATGTAATTTACAGCCTGTGTCCTGCAGAGAGTTAGGAAGATGAACAATGGTTCCTACTTGTTTACTTCTAAAAAAGGCAGCAACCCAGATTGGCACCTACCGTGTGGATTCATCAGCCTGTTTTACTGGTTTGCCCCAGATCCCTAAACAACTCACTAATCCAACACAGGCAAAAATTAACAGCCAGAATCGCTCAAGTAGGCCCTACGAAACACTTTGCAGCAAGGTTTCTCCTGTGGCAGACCTTGTGGCCCCATCAGCTTTCTTGCTCCCAGCACCACCCTAATGCACGTAGTCCCTGGCTGACCCACATCTCCCAGCAGTGCACAGGCAACAAATCACAGTGCCAGTCCCCACTGGCAACTTTAACACCACTATACCCAGTTAGTTACTACGTTGTTGTTGGAGACTGAGCAGGAAACCTGCACACAGCAGCTGCCACCAGCTGTCCAAGCGTGCAGCAGAGACACACAGGATGCATTAGTGACATTTGAGTCATAAGCAGCTGTGTAGAGGGCTGGGGGTGGGGGGAATACAGGGGAAACTGAGGGGAGAAGGGAAGACGTTCTCTATAGGTGGCTTCTGTCTGTCTCCAACCCTCCTTCCCCCTGGTAGGCCTTCCCAGCACACACCATGCCATAAGACCCTGGAACTGATATATCTGACCATGAGCTGCCATCTTTGTGCTAAGCATTCTCTATTCCCACTTTCATTTCTTTCTTTTGCAATTACACAATAGGTAAATCAAGCTTATCCTAAGCCATCTCTGGGATATACTTTTCTCTCCTCCCTCACTATCCTTCCCACTGTCTTTCCATTTTATTCCTTTTGATTTTGCTTCTTGATGTCTACTTTGACTTCTCTCTCCAGTCATTTCTCCTTTTTCTTAGCCCCCATCCTTTCTTATCCACTCGCCCCTCTATGCAGTGTATTGGAATTATTAAATAAAACATTTAAAGCCCCAGAAGAGCAGGTGGGCTTTTCAAAATACAAACATTCACACAACTCAGGAAACACTTGCTATTTGCATAACCAAACAGTTAACTGTAACCTACAGATAAATACTTAGGGGCTCTTATGTCTAATATGGACCTTCCTGGAGCTATTCAAAGTCAAAAGAGGTTTTCTACTGATTTTGAGGAATTTTGAATGAAGCCAGCTGTAAACAGTGTTTGGTTGAGTCCCAGCATCTATATTATGATAACTCTGCATGCTGCGTTATGTATTTCCTCTGTATATATATAGTCTGAGGATAGAGGGATTACATCAGATTTATAGGCACTGATAAAATATTTTCCTTTCTAAAGAAAGTAAACCCCAAATTTTATTTGGAACAATTTCTGTTCACACCAGCTCTGTTTGTGCCAGTCTTGACATAGCCACATTTGACATAGCCACATTTAACATAGCCACATTTAGACTGTGCCTTAAATGTAGCAGTGCGGGAATGAATACTTAAGCCTATCTTTTTCACCTACAAAGAACACTAAAACCAGACCTTACCCGTATATAGACAGAAACTTACTGGATTTCAGTAGGTCTCCCTGTTAGTCAGTTTTATGACTCCTGTCAGAGGTGGAAGGGAAGGAAAAGCATCCTAATTTTAGACCATAATAGGCATGTTTGTTTTTGGAGGCAAAGATTCTGGCTGTTTCCAGTGTTGCTTCTAGGAGGGAAGTTGCAGGTGTGTGCACATCATAAGATGAACAGGGTGAGGAGGCT